TGTATTTTTGGCTATTGCTACAAATATACCCCAGTGACTTAAGACTGCTTTTGTGCTCCAGGGTCACAAATATACTTCATTGAGCATCACTGTTTACAACACATTTAGCACATATTTAACATATTTTGGCAAGAAAAAAATATTTTTTGCCATATGGATTTGCAGACATAAGAGAATATAACACAAAATTCTATAAATTAGTAACAATGGATCATAATTAATCACTTTTGCAAAAATGTAACATTCCATTTTCAAAAATAGCATTCACCAACACTGGTTCTGATATGTTTGCATTGCTACATTACCATCTCCTGTCACATAGAATCCTGGGAATTTTCTGAAGTAGGTGCTTTCAAAGCGTTCCTGATTCCCGTACACACCCCTCATGATTCCTGGCCAGGGCTTCCGGAAAACCTGAGACCAAAACATCCGTTCATGGTCAGAGAAAAAACGCATGCAGTTTGGAAATAACAGCTGGGATAACTAGGATGAAAGTCTCACCAGGTATCCCTCCGCCTCGCCCTCTAGTTCTTCTCCATGTTCATTGAGAATGGCAGGCTGGACTCCAAAAAATGGGCACGTCTGCACAGAGAAGACACTTCAATATCAGAGTCATCCATCCCCATTTTTAACAGTTTCATAAGACGTAAGATGTAATACGTCAAGGTGATTTTCAGGAGACTCACAGCAGATCCAGGCTTCAGTGGTGTAGCAGCTGGAAGTGGAGTCAAAACATGGCCACCCTGCCGACACAACAAACTTATTATTAGTTGAGCATTAGTGAGTATTATGTGACATTTTATACAAGCAATAATGCACTTTGTGGTAAAATTCTGATTATAAAACGAATAGTTCTGGTCCTTGATTCTGATTGGTTGAGCCGTGTTCGAAGCTGTTGTAAATTACTCTAACTGTTTCTGAGGAACTACATTGTTTGGCGGAAGAATAATTTTTTTATTATCATTACACTTTATTTGCTCTTTTATTTTGTGAAACCTTACTATGTATATGGAATAACCGTTGTATAAAAGCAATAAGCCCCGTGAAGCTGTGGTTTACAGTGAATTTATAACAGCTAATGGGGTTTTAGGCACTCCACTCCACGTCGACGCCCCTTAGCTGTTATAAATTCACTGTAAACCACGGCTTCTTGGGGCTTATTGCTTTATTTTAACACGGTTAAAGGGGGTTTTAGGCAACTTTGTTCCAAAAAAAACTTGTGTCTTGTTTGGTTTTGATAATTGTAAATGTTTTACCGTCTCTGTTTGCCAGAAGGTGTCAATAACCGGACAGCGCTGCTGACCCACAACATCATAATACCAAAGCCAAGCCTCTGGGTTTATGGGTTCTCCAACCGTACCCAACACACACAAACTGGACAGATCATACCTGACACAAACAGATGCAAGATTACTAGTTTGCAATATTTGTAGAATATCTCAAAACAGACAAAAACCATCCATGTCTGAAGCACAAGCTGTTGTTGTGTAAAAAAACAATATTTGCAGAAGGTATTTTTTCTAAAATAATTTCTGTCCAATAGGTGGCGCTAACAACCTTTGATAGTGTAAACAGTCCCTGTAAGCAGCACTATCACGCCACTGAGAGATGACATGAATGTGCGAGTTCAACACTAACTATTCAACAACATCTCTACCAGGTCACAGCAGGACTAGCTTGACCTGTTGCAGTATCTTTAATGAGTCAAATAAAACATTGGTGATTTGAACAGTGCTCAGTGATGGCTTTGGTTTTCTGAGGCCTCCAGCGCCCCCTGGAGGACAGCCCTTTGTATAATATAATAATAGTAATATTTATGTATATAATTATTAATTACTATTATATTATATGTTTTTATCATTATAATATTATTGGTGTTATTATTATAACATGTTAACAATAATTGTTATTTTTAATGTAATTTTATTTAATAATATTAATTGTTATTAATTAATAATAATAATTATTTCATTTGTCTCTGTTAGGTTAGGGAAAAACAATATTTGTACAATATTTGTAAAAACAATCATTGTAAAAATGATGTATCATACTTTAATCATAATAATATTTGTGTGTGTATAAAATCTTTATAGCAATAAATGTGTAAAATAAACTAAATTTTATTTATTTTAGAAATTATAATTTTTACCATTATTGTTTAATTAAAAAAAATAATAATTCTAAAGCACATTAAGTTTTCTGATTGGGTGTGGGTTAGTTTATAGTACTAATATTTAGATTATTAGACTTCCTGTGTAATTGTAAACCAAAAGGTTTAAAAACAATACTAAACACAAGTTTTCTGTGAGGGTTATGTTTAGGGGTAGGGTTACTTCAGGGGATAGAAAATCGAAAAATATGCTCAGTATAAAAACTTTTACACCTATGAAGAGTCCCTATAAAGCATATATACAGTGTGTGTGGATACACTACGTTATGGGGACAAAATGTCCCTACAAAGATGGCAATATCCAAAATCCTTGTCCTTGTGGGGACATTTTTGGTGTGTGTGTGTGCGTGAGAATGTGTGTGTGCTCACCGCTGCAGTGGTTCTCTCCCGTATTTCATCAGCAGTCGTATAGCAGTGGGTGCGGTGTAGAACTTAGAGACTCCGTACTTCTCAATGATCTCCCACAGTCTGCCCACATGAGGATACACCGGCACACCTTCAAACTACACACCACATTACACTCATTCAAACTGATGAATCTTAGATCAAATTGACTTCATATATTTTTAAATGACAGTAAAAGCTATGCTGAATTTTGCAGAAACATGTTCACAATTTCCCAGTTTGTGCAAGTGAATATTCTACATCATATTTCTTACCAGCACGCTGGTGGCGCCGTTGGCTAAAGGGCCGTACGTGATGTAGGAGTGGCCTGTTATCCAGCCAATGTCTGCAGTGCACCAGTAAACGTCATCATGGTGATAATCGAAAACATATTTGAAGGTCAGTGATGTATAGAGCATATATCCAGTGACGGTGTGAAGGACCCCCTGTACAGAAATGAAGGAATGAATACTAGCACACTGCTTAGTGCACACTGTATGTGCAGTATATACTGCATGCTGCCTACTCTTTTATAAAAAAAAATAGTATGTGAAGTAGTATGTGCTGCAGAAACTTCTCTAAACAATATCATACTAAAATGGTTGTCACATTAATTCATCAAGTGGTGTCCAGTTAATTCAGCTTTGATCACAGCAATAAATTACAATAGAAAACAGTTATTTTAAATTGTAATAATATTTCACAATTTTTACCAAAAATTGGTCAAAGTATTTTTGATTTTGTAAAAAGTAATGGAAATAAATATTGCTGTTTTGCAATTTGTAGACAATGTTTTGATCAAAAATACTTTTTACAAAATCAAAAACCAATTTTTGGTAAAAATCGTGAAATATTATTACAATTTAAAATAACTGTTTTCTATTGTAATTTATTCCTGTGATCAAAGCTGGAGCGCTGTACATTCACTCCCCCCACCTACAATCCCTGCCGGTACGAGACTCAAACCCGCAACCTTTGGGTTATGAGTCCGACTCTCTAACCATTAGGCCACGACTTCCCCTCAAAAGAAAAAATAGGCACACACACACACAAAAGAAAAAATAGTATGGTCATTAATTTAAGTGCTGGATATAAGAGAATTTTACATTTGCTCTATTTAAATTTTTTCCTGCTAGAAAACCATCATATACTGTAAGTAGTCCATACAACTTGACCGTTTGACCAACCTGTAGTTTGTTGGAAGCATCAGTGTTTGTTCTGAAGGCATGATGTTTGACCACCACACACTTCTGAACACACGAGGCCATGCTGAGCGAGACAGAGAACACAGTACGTACATAAAATCATATTTAAAAGCAAAAAAATGTGCATATTGACTGTTCTAAGCTCTTATCAGTAAGTGTGAATAATAATAGTAATGTTTTCATCATGGCATTATGTCATTTATTGAGTGATACCATCAAAATTCATAAATGATTAATGTGCCAAATCAACGACATCATCATTCAGTCACATGTTACAAATCCACACCCGTGTTTGCTCTATGATGCGTATGTCTCATTTCACATGTTGCCATGGTGAGATGAAGCGAAGGGTTCCAAACTGTGCTGTTGCTCGGCAACCCCTGACAGTCTGTGATTGGGTGAGTGCTCCGGTGTGTGTGTGTGTGTGTGTGTTTGTAATGGACAGTCTCTGATTGGGTGAGTGCTCCGCTGTGTGTGTGTATAATGGATGGGTGAGAGGTTGATGTAAACAGAGGTTCCTCTGATAGCAGAGAGCAGCAGACAGGGACGTACCTCTCCTTACAGCGCTCCAGAGCTTCAGACGCAATCTTCTTCAGATTGATCAGCTTGTCACCTCTGTAAACACCATCTGTAGAACACATATACACACACAAACACAGAGAGAGAGAGAGCAAAAACACATGAGATGGGAAGACAAAGAGAGGTGAGGAGAAAGATGGACTTTAGGATGATGCACAGGATTTTATCAGTCCGTTAGGAAACAAATGTTTTTATAAGGTTGCAGGTTGCTGGGGGGAAGAATATTATAAAATATATATATATATATATATATATATATATATATATATATATATATATATATATATATATACTGTACGTA